ACCTTTATTTAAAAAATCATTTTATAATGCAATTTATTAATTATTCAATTATTTTTTGAAAATACCATTTTTCAAGTGATCTCGATAGCGAATAAATTCTTGCAATCTGGTAAAAAAATTACTCGTCCAATTTCATCATTTATGTTTTGCTTTAACTCTACAACAGTACCTGATTTGTTGACATGATGATAGATATTACGATTATGATATTATGTTATTTTCAAGAGATAATTGAAAAATTAATGAATGCATTATGTATTAATTTTTTAAGAGAAAGTTTTATTACAAATTAACCTGAGCATCCTACAGTAGCTCTTTGAATACCCGTTACTTACTTTCAAGTGCTACTTTTAATTATTTTACTTTGTAAATGAAAAACTATGGTAAACATTTGACAGCTCGAATACACTACCGTTCATAAGTATTTGCCCATGCTTCTTCTTTATTCAAACATTTGATAAAATTATTCGAAAGAATTCTATTTTTATAAATAAGTGTTACCAAATCAGTTAAATCCTTAATTTCTTTCTTGAAAACTGGTTAACCCTAGTGCGGTTTTCGAGTCTTCTTTGAGTCACCGCCTTCATATTTTTTTAATAACTTTTGCTGTTATCAAGTTTATATTCCCTTAACATTATATTAAAAGTTTATTGTTTAGATTCGTATGGCGCGCTGATGATAAAAATTGTTAAACATAAGGTGTTTGGGTCTTTTCTAACCCTTCTTTTTTTTACATGGGGGAAATCTTCATGGACACCCCGCCTCCCGGGGGACTCTTACCGGCTGAAACCTCCACGGTGGTTCTTCCTCGGCGTTGTGGAGTGGGCTCGGGATCTCGTGACGAACGCAACCGGAGCCACCCCGCGCCAAGCTCCTCCCTCAGATGTTCGCGGAGGGAGGGGCGCCGTCCCGAAGGGTGTCAAAAGAACCTCCTCTCCACCACCGAGGCGCCGCCGGGACCACACCGGCGACGCCCCCACCGCGGGCCGCGTGCAATGGGCGCCGGGTCCCCCACCCGGCTGAGCCTGCGGCCCCGGCGACCCACACAAGTACTTGGGGCATGCTCTGCGCCCAATTAAGGGGGTGGGGCTTCCCCGTGTGGGTCGCCACCTCCGCGGGACCCGGCGGGAGGATGACTCCTCCCCCAGGCCTGCGTACTCGGGTACCTCGGGGTCGTAAAATCCCGTACCGCAACCAACCCGAAGGTTGACCACGGCCCCTGAGGGAGGGTCTTTTCTCGCCCAAAGACATGAAGTGTATAATCGAACGGAAGAACGCACTAGGATTAAAAATGAAGTTGCTTATAGAAATAAAAACGAATTGTGAAGAAATGGGTGCGCAAATATTTATGAGCCGTAGCGTATGTGTACGTACAAAAATTTCATACATTTCGAACATTTGTTTTGAAGGGCGATCAAAATTTGGGATAAGGAAGTAGATTACGATCATCGGTTCCGACTAATAATACAAACAAAGTTAGCTAATCCCCATTATAAGCCTGAAATACAGGCGCAAACTACTCTTATCAATTTTACCGTAACAAAAGATGGTTTGGAAGAACAACTTCTTGGAGATGTTGTAAAAGCCGAAAGACCCGATTTGGAATCGAAGAAAGCTGAACTAACTACTCAACAGAACACGTTTAAAATTACCTTGAAAACATTAGAAGACGATCTTCTTCACAGGTATACAACATTCTGTAAAATTATATTTCACTGTCGCATCTTATTTTTACATATTAATAACTAAAATACAATGGTTTAAACGCAATTTTGTTATTCTTGATTTTCGTTTCATTTGGATTTGAACATCCTGTACATGTACAAATGCGTGTCAATTACCACGCGTAATTCCTTCAAAATTATTGTTTTAATTGTAACGAAGAAATAACAATTACCATTTAAACAATAAGTAGTTGTTGAAAAAGAATAACATTTAAATATTCATCTAATAACATGGTACTTGTTTTCAAAGATTATCAACCGCTGGACCTAATATCTTAAGTGACGTCGATCTCGTAATAAATCTGGAGACAACAAAAAAAACGGCCGCGGAAATCGAAATAAAAGTGGCGGAAGCTAAAATAACGGCCGTAAAGATAGACGAAGCTCGAGAGATTTATCGATGTGTCGCAGCCAGAGCCAGTCTTCTATATTTCGTTCTAAATGATTTGAGCAAAATAAATATGCTCTACCAGTTTTCTTTGAAGGCTTTCAGCGTTGTCTTCCAGAACGCAATTAAATTTGCGGAGCCTGAAGAAGTTTTGCAGAAACGTGTCGTTCTTTTAATCGACAGCATCACTTATCTAGTTTTTATATACACCAGTAGAGGATTGTTCGAAGCCGACAAATTGACCTTTCTTTGCCAAATGACCATTCAGGTAAACTTTTTAAATAGTTCAATGAATTATGACTTAATAACTGTTGTTAAATTAACAACTATTAGCTTTACATATGTCATTGATAGTACGTTTTCAAAAAGATGAACACAGTTTTTAAACTATGCATTTGAAGAAATGCAAATGCTACTTGCTAAGAGCAAAAAAAGTATGACAAAAACAACTTGCAGATTTTGTTTTTTTTCCCAACAAGTAAACCATATAAAATGTTTAGAATTTTTAATCGAATCTTTGCAAATTCTTGGGAAGCAATACCTTACAATTAGCGTTGCGTCTTCTTTATGAAAGCATTGTAAGGAGTATGGTCGAGTGAATGTAGAGACTCGGGCTAGTTTATGACCCGCAGACCTCTGGGTCTGCGGAGAAACCCGGTCCCAACGCCTTGACTCTCCCACGCGCTAAGGGCTGGGTCAGGTAAGGACCCAGCCACGTGCTCGCGCGACGCGGACCTTGCTGGGTAGAAACCCCCAACTTGTGCCAAGGTTTCCCAAAGGCAAGAGAGGGGCGTCAAGGCTCTTATATAAGGATGCGTTAAGAGAACTGTAAGAGAATTGTATTAGAACGAATTAGGAAGCGAGTAGTTGACAAGGACGAGGAGTCAACGACAGACGAAGTAATAAATATAGTTTTCAACATTATTTTAAATAACCCTGACAAATATTATTTAGACCAAAAGCCCTTACCAGCATCAAGAAACCAATTTTTAATTCCTGTTCCACGTGCAAAATTAATATAAGCCATTTCTTCCAACGTTGTATCGACAAAATCGGATCGTTTATGCGATATAGGGGCATTTTTTAAATGAAACGCTTATAGCCTTTGGAATCCCAACGAAGTGCCACATTAAGTCGTTTTGTTTTATGGAAATCTGTAAAATCGTGGAGAATTTGTATTTATAGTAACACAGCGAAGTAGGGATTAACTGGCCGAAAGGATGCAACACATGTTGACACGACTCCCCTATTCTTCACTACTTTACGATTCTTCATAAAGCAAAATAACTTTGTGTGGCACATCGTTGAATTCGTCTCAACAAACGCTACCATATTACGAGTAAAAAGATACAGGGTTCCATTTGAAAAAATTCACTTCACTTCGATATCTCCCCCACTGCTACACCCACAGAAAAATTATTCAGACCAACTAAAGTCCCCTTACATACCGAACAACTTTTGTAAGAACATTTTTCTCGTAGCTACAGTTCCTTGTGAGATATTCCACCGTTTATAGTTAACACGGAACACCCTGTATAGTGAAACTTGAAAATAAGCAAAACACAGGTATCTCTATCGAAACGCAATAATAAAATATGAATAAAGTTTGCCACTAATGGAATATGGAGTAAAAGAAATTCAAAGAAACGAAGTTTACAGTGCTATAACTTTTGATTGTAATCGCATTAGAATTGTTAGATTCCGATGTTTAGTAATTTAAATAAAAAATAACAACTTTATTTGACTAAATTTTGTACACGAAATCTTACAAGTTCTAAAACACTTAGTTTCTAGACACGTTTGGTCGTATACACAATTTTGTACACGAAATCTTACAAGTTCTAAAACACTTAGTTTCTAGACACGTTTGGTCGTATAGACCGTTCAAAATAAGAGTAACCTCGTTTCGCGCATGGGACGTGCCTAAGGCAGGGCTCGAACCACTAGAACGTCCAAACCCCCACTTAACCGCCTACGTTTTTCTCCGTCTTACCCTCTGCTACGCTCTCTGTCTATGCGCAGAACGGACGAGAATCGGTCCGAGAGCGAGGTTACTCTTATTTTGAACGATATGTAGCGATTCTTCTATTGTGTGCGGGATGTTTAACTGCTTGCTTTTATTAAGATTCGTAGGTCTTATTTTAGGGTAGTGGAAGTACGGAAAGGTCCAACGGTTTTGAGACTTGATGAGTATGACTCGGGGTTGATGAATAACAGAGTATGACTCGGGGTTGATAGATGACAAAGTATGACTCGGGGTTGATAAATAACAGTAAAGCTTACGGGTAATTGTGTAAAAAGATAACTGTTAGGGATTACTGGCGGTGGATATGAAATGTGTCTATCTTATTTGTTAAGGTTAGAGCGGTATCTAACAGAATTAAGGTTGCACCGAATGATTGAATTTATTTCAGATTTTTATGGAGTCGAAAGAAATCACACAATCGGAGCTTGATTTTCTATTGCGATTCACATATATTCCCGATTTAACCAGCCCGGTAGACTTTTTAACAAATATTGGTTGGGGTGGAATTAAATATTTGAGTCAAATGGATGACTTTCAAAATTTGGAAAAAGATATCGAGGGCGCGGCGAAGAGATGGAAAAAGTTCGTTGAATCAGAAACACCAGAGCGAGAAAGTTTTCCACAAGACTGGAAGAATAAAACTGCTTTGCAAAGATTATGTATTATGAGATGTCTTAGATTGGATCGTATGACATACGCAATTAGGTTTGTTTGCTTTTAATTACGTCATTTCGCATCTTACTCGATTCGTTGCACATTTCTTACAGAACTGTTATGATTTGTCTCTTTCTTAAAGTTTCATTTATTCTTTAACCAGCTGTTAAAAACACTCTTAAATTAAAGAAGCGTACCTTACTGAAAATCCTTACACGTTAGCAATCGTTTTTTTTCCTTTTTTTTTACTAAAAATAGAAGCATCGAAAAAATATTTGACACTACGGAAGAATATACTTTTTAAGATGTATCACATTTTTCAAATAATAATGCTTCACAGTTGAAACACTTACTACATCGAGTGTTTAAAAAAACGTGTTCCGGGTTTATACAATAGATAGCATGCGTCAAACTGACAAGGGAATAATCTTCAAGTGATAATCACCGATTTTGATGAAACTTTGATAGGTATATCTCAAAAAAATATACGACACGTGTTGAATTTATTTCATTTTTCAAAGTATGTTTACAAGACAATTTCTGTCCACGGTCATACGAATTAATTGGTAAAATTTTGTTCGTCTGTGAAAAAACAACTTGTATCAGCAAATTTCAAGAACTATTTTTCTTAATTGGCAAAAAATCAAAATTCTGATCGCAAAAATCGATAAATATTTTACCAGAAATATTGATAAAAATGTTACAATTTTTTATATATTATTTAAACAAATGGACCTACTTCAAATCTGTTTACGCAACCACATTCGTCGTTCAGAAATACAAATTTCGTCAATTTACACCAGAGGCGCTTAACTTCTTGCTCACGAGCAAATTTACCCTCCCGAGGTTCCCCCATTATGCGGTACGAAAACGCAGAATGTGTAACATAAACCAACGGCAGTCGCTGGAGTTGTGGTGGGAGAACTCCTTCTCGCGTCCTCCTCCCGCCACGCCCCAACTCGAGCGAGACCATCTCAGTCGCCTCTGATTTACACCATCCCTCTATCTTTAATAGTTTTCGAGATATTTAACTAAATCTGTTTACTACTCCCGACTTTGAGGGCGATTTTTACCCCTTCAACGTAAACGACTGCCGATAAAATAATAAAATAAAAATTTGTCCACAGAATGTCACGTGTTATTAAAAGATTATCGTACATAACTGCTTAGAACCATTATATTATTTTACTTGTATAATAAAAGTATGATAAAAAGTTTGTTAAACATTCTGTTTCCTGTGAATTTATTTAGATGTTTTGTGGAAGAAAAACTTGGCTCTAAATTTATAGAATCCAGGTCTCCTCCGTTTCATAAATCTTTCGAAGAAACGAGTTCGATTACGCCTGTATTTTTCATACTTTCACCTGGCGTCGATCCTTTGAAGGTAAGATATCCTTAAACTTCTTTACGATGTCTTGTGAAAAATTAATTTACCTATATTACTTGGCTATTTCTTTGTAAAACAATTTCTAACGTTTGTATAAAAAGAATTTTGCATTTGTCTTATAAAATTATATATGTTGCTCTGAAACTATAAAAACTGGTATTGTAAAATATTTACAATAATCTTTTATTGTGAGAAATGGATTAATATTTCGCAGATACGTACACTGCCGTTAATAAGTATTAGGACACCCGTTATGTCTGTATAGAAAGTATTATATAATTTAAATTAGATTTCTTCGCTAAACTTACAATCAGCATCACGTATCAATAAAAATATACAGTGTGTTCACGCTATTAACGTCCAATGCTTTTCTCGTATGTATAATAGAATGCTGTACGCAATACAATATCTTGAATAGATATTTTAAATTTGCAATGGTTTTTCCGTAACAACGTTTTTTGTCCCACCCTATATATCCCATGAACCTTCTTCACACGCAAATAATACGGGTCACAGACGACCCAGCTTAGTCGGCCAACGTCGGTCAATGGTCTCCATTTACAAAATTTCTTGTGATATTTCATTCATCATCATCATTTTGTGATATTTTCAAAATCCTGTAACTCTCTGAAAGCATTTTTCTTTCTTTCTATAGAATACACTTTTCAAAATATTTTCAGTAATAGATTAAAACGAATCATCCTGTATACGAGTCGACACTGTCTAAAGCAGAGGCGCTTAACTTCTTGCTCACGAGCAAATTTCCCCTCCCGAGGTTCCCCCACTATGCGATACGAACACGCAGAATGTGTAACATAAACCAATGGCAATCGCTGGAGTTGTGGTGGGAGGACTCCTCGCGTCCTCCTCCCGCTGCGCTGCAACTCGAGCGAGACCATTTCAGCCGCATAGTGGGGGAACCTCGGGAGGGGAAATTTGCTCGTGAGCAAGAAGTTAAGCGCCTCTGATCTAAAGGTTCTAGTGAAAAAGTATTTTTCAACGGCCAGTAATTATACCACTGATAAGAAAAAAAAAGAAACAATAGAATTTTGTCGAATAAACATAATAATAGGGACAATAAAAATATAGGATGTAGAGAAACTTGGAAAGCAATTGGGTTTCACATTTGAAGGAAGAAATTTCCACAATGTGTCACTTGGACAAGGCCAAGAACCAGTAGCCGAACAAGCAATGGAAATTTCAGCAAACGAAGGACATTGGGTGATTTTGCAAAATGTTCACCTAGTAAGGAAATGGTTACCTATGCTGGAGAAAAAGATGGAACAATTTTCGGAGAATCCCGATGACAATTTTCGACTGTTCATTAGCGCGGAACCCAGTCCTGATCCTCACGAATCAATAATACCTCAGGTAATTATTAAAACCAAAGACGAGGTACAAAACCTCTTGCATTAGGCGTAGAAATGAATTCTTCCCGACTGGATTCACATAATTGATTCAAAGCCACCAAGTTTCTACCGCGATGATATCCGCAAGCTGCCAGAAAAATGGCAAAACATCATCAACAATAATGGAAATTATTTCAATGATTGATCTGTTTTCATTCTTTTTAAGTAAAACTTTGATTGCATCTGAAAGTCGGAAAGAATTCATTTCTGTACCTAATATACAGGGTGTCCCGTAAAGAGTGTAACACCCGGAAATGGGGGGTTGCTAAATTATTAAAACCAAAGACGAGGTACAAAACCTCTTGCATTAGGCGTAGAAATGAATTCTTCCCGACTGGATTCACATAATTGATTCAAAGCCACCAAGTTTCTACCGCGATGATATCCGCAAGCTGCCAGAAAAATGGCAAAACATCATCAACAATAATGGAAATTATTTCAATGATTGATCTGTTTTCATTCTTTTTAAGTAAAACTTTGATTGCATCTGAAAGTCTGAAAGAATTCATTTCTGTACCTAATTATTCGTTATTCACGAATAACAAATAAACTAACAAGTCGTTTAACACGTTGAATGCCGGACCAATTCTACGTAACTTGTCCACGAAGCCGAAAAGAATATTTTATTCTAATACAACACATTGCAATATGCATAAATAATATGTCAATAGTTAGAAATAAAACTATTTAAATATGCTGTGTGATGCATTAGGTGAAAATTTTACAAATACTACCATTTATTCAAATTAAATGCTTCTACTAATTTTGAGACCGCCGCGCCGGTCACCGATGACCCCCAAGGCATTCAACGTGTTAATAACTGTTTTCGATACTTTTATTCGTTATCCGAAAGGAATAAAGTGTTTTATTAGTTATGAAAAACTTACCCATTCGTCCACGAATTAACCTGCTTCGACGGAAGAGGATCGTTGTACCGATCCTGACCTTTCAAAGCAACTCCCAACAGCTGATGCTACGGCCGGGTCGGTGAACTCACTTTACTGCACGGTCACTTTAATTGCACGGTCACTTTTACTGTTTTCGACGATATTATAAATAATCGCAAAATAGCCAAACTTTCCCGTTTACAATACGGTATGGATAATAGTGTAATTTATGACGCTGAGGTGGGTGAGGTACCTCCTCTGTGGTACAATATTATAGATTAAACACTTTCATTGTTACTGTAAAGAGAAATTAATTTCGCCTAACAAGCCGTTCAATAAAATCAAACAAACTTGTACCGAACTAGCAAGGAAGGTTAGACAACCGGAAAATTCAAAAAATTATGAAACTTTTCGTACAAGTAAAGTATGTCATCCCTAATACAAACCTATTTTTCGTCGGTGTCATAATTAGGTTTTCAGAGGTGAAATCACGCGTTGAAAAAAATTCAGAATTTTCTTTTCTGTGAAATATCTCGAGAACGATGAGAGATATTTAAAAAAAAGGTTAAAATAAAGTTGTATCCTTTTATAGTGTTTACTAAACTGCGTTAGAAAACTTTTGAAAAACAAAAATATCAACACGTAAGTCATTTACAGATATGAAAAGAGGGTATTTAGAGATATTTCAGCATGTATAATAGAAAAAAGTTTTTTAAAGGATTTTTTAAAATCTATTTGACTATGCTACTTTCATATCTGAAAATTCACTTTCATATCTCCCTCACTACTACACCTACTGAAAAATTATTACCACCTAATGTCCCCCCTATATACCAAACAACTTGTTTAGGAACATTTTTTTGATAACTTCAATCTCCTGTGAGATATCCCACTGTTTCCAGTTAAACAGAACACCCTATAGATAAAAAAACAATGAAAATCATTCACAGCAAGCACTCGTTATTTAGCTGTGAGTTTTATCGATATGTTATATACAGGGTATACTAGAATCAGCCATAAAAATCACAAACGAGCCACCATCGGGAATTCAAGCGAACATCCACAAAGCGTTGGATAATTTTAGTCAAGAAACTCTTGACTCATGCAGCAAGGAAACTGAATTTAAAGCCATATTATTTGCACTTTGTTACTACCATGCTGTACTTGCAGAACGTAGAAAATTTGGACCGCAAGGATGGAACAGGGTAAATGAATTTAATATTAACTCAATTCATTAGTTATAAAGTCAGAAGACTTGTTACATATTAAAACAAGGGGAAAAACGAATATTTTTAACGACTATTTTGTGTTAATTTATTAATTAGAAATTAGTAACTTCTAATACGATATTGGTCATTGTAACATAATTTTATTCTACAAAACGTATGTTTCAAATTTTCATTACAAGCCCAGATAAAAAAGTTGTAAACAGTGACCTTTACAATTTTCTTCCACAAATTGGAATTTTTTCAAAATTTTTTGTACACGTCATCTAGCGAACTAATCCTTCTAACTTGTCAAAAAAAACTCAAGTCGTTTGGGCCAATTTTCAAAAAGTTACTCTATTTGGAAAAGTGTCCACATATTTCTGTCCACGACTCGATGTAATTGTTTATTTTAAAGAATTATTATTCGCTTCACACAGTCTTATCCATTCAACGTTGGAGATTTGACAATCAGTGTATCTGTACTATTCAACTATTTGGAAAATAGTATCAAAGTACCTTGGGAAGATCTTCGTTATTTATTTGGAGAAATAATGTACGGAGGCCATATAACAGATGACTGGGACAGAAGACTGTGTAGAACATATTTAATAGAATATTTAAAACAAGAATTAGTTGAAGGTAAGAAATTATATAGTAAAGAAAAAACGAACATAAAAATTAGTAAGCATACTTTTAATAAATTTCCTTCGTTAAATCCATATTTAAGTAAAATTCATAATCAAAATTTTAACTTATAAATCTTATTTCATTATTCGTGCTCTTTTGATAATAAATTTTCAACTTTGGACCAAAGTATGCTTTGCTCTAACATACTTATAAGGGTCAAAAATTTGTTTCGACTTTTTTTTATTACCGTATCTTCTAACACTGTGACACTTGGTGAACAAATAATTTATACAAAATTTCAGAGTGATAGGACAAAGAGAACCCGTGGCGCATTTGAGTTGAAGTTTTTAAATTATTAAAATTTCACGTATAAATAAAATGGAGGTGAACCGAAAAATGAACTTAGTATAACATTAAGTAATACTATTCTATGAAACCAGATTTGGTTGCGGTAGAGTAACGTTGCCGATACTCTTCTAATATCTGCAAAATATACTGCTTATTTTTTTCATCTTTAGTTATCAAGATATTATAATCTGTCATTAGCTTTACGCCTCGTTACTTACTTATATGTATTTAGAAAAGAAAACCCCAAAAGTAATAAAAAATTACCAAAATATGTTATTTATACGCACTTTCGGAGCTGTTTATGCCGGACTTTGACACCATTTTGCTAGCCGATATCAAATTTTCCGAGTGAACGGCACTCGTTTCAGTTATTAGGAGGTAACGAGGAACTATAACTTCCAACCGTTATTTTTTTTAAACTAATTAATTATCTCGGAAATCTCCCTTGTAAAACGCTGCGTTATACAGAGTGCCCCGTAAAGAGTGTAACACCCGGAAATGGGGGATTGCTGGGGTGACTCTGAACAACTTTTTCCTTTACCAAAATGTTGGTTGAAGCTTCGTTTTTGAATTATTAACGAAAAACACTGGCCAATCAGAGCGCGCGTAGAGCCCCCGCTCAGGGACG